CCATTAAATGAATGTTAATTCCTAGAATCATCATGAAGGTTCTTAGTCCCATGATTAACAGTATCTCTGGGTAGTATAATAAGTAATAATAATAAAAATAATAATTAAAGGTTCTGTATTACAGTAGATCCTCAAAGTCATCAATAGTTTCATGGAAACTGCAACTTGAAGCAAAATGATATTTAACTGCACCAATTTTACCATAGGCTAATCACTATAAACAAGAGTTAAGTCCCTATGGCATATTCCTGGTCACAAAAACATCACCAAACTTCAAAATAAGGATCAAAACGTTTCTAATATTAAATGTTAAAATAAATGTGAGCTATACATACATTTAAGAAAGATTAATAAAAATAACTAAGGTAATTATTATCATTCGAGGTCAGGGTTGTGAGTGGCCAGAGCCTATCCCGGCAGCTCAGGGTGCAAAGCAGGAACTATCCCTAGACAGGACACTATCCCATCACAGGGTGCCCTCACACACACACCCACACTCAGTCTGACCGGGAAATTAAGACATGCCAGTGAACCTAATATGCATGTGTTTGGGATGTGGAAGGAAACCAGAGTGCCTAGTGGAAACCCATGCAGACATGAGGAGAACATGCAAACTCCACACAGGCAGTAGCATGAGAATCGATTTCTCTTTTTTCATCAACGTTATAATGAAACGGTGTTATCTGAGGACCTGCTGTACCCCTTTTGAGTACCAACTGATAAAATATGTGCTTTTAAAAATATAAATGACAGTGATACCACTAATAAAAGCCTCAAGGTTAACTTGTTGATGTACTTATTTAGACTTTTTCCCCCAAAGTGATGAGCCAGATTTGCAGTAATCTGAAGTCTTACCTCATCCCCTACAGCATGCATTTGAGTTACAGTTGTCTGTACCATTATAAGATATCAAGATGAATTAGTTGTTTTGCTTGTGATTAGGATTATAGAAAATTATAAGAGGCCATCACTCCCATCCTAACAACCAAGGAAGCAAGATACCCTATAAAAATCACAGTTTTAAAAAACTCACCATTAAGATGCGGAAAGAAGTCAAACATTTAATTGTTTTTAAAAAATTATTTTTTATTTTATTATTTATTTATTTTTAAGATATTAATACATAGTCTCACTGTTGCTCAGTCTGGTGTGCAGTGGCATGATATAGCTCACTATAACCCTACAGGTGTGGGCCATCATGCCCAACTAATTTTTCTATTAATGAATTTTTAATGGCTACATGTAGACTTGGGTGACAGAGCAGAATTCAGGAGTCCTAGGCATAGATCAAGTCTGCACCCACTCACCAAACTTTCTCATGGTCTTTGCCAAGTGCACGGGTAATACACGTAAGACTGGAGGTTGCACAGGAAAGCTAAAAGAGTTCCGCCTTAGATACATGGAGCCTCTCTTAAGCTTAAGGAAGCCACTTTCTTAAGATGGGAGACAGAGAAGCAGAGCTGAGAGAAACCTCTCTGAGGCATTCAACCACTTTGGAAAGGGCTCAGGTATCTGCCTTCTGAAGGTGAGGGGCAGAGTATTTGGGCAAAGAAAGATCCCCCAAAAAGAAAACTGGGGTATCAAGAAAAATACAGCAGTCCATGGGACCTTCTGGTATGATGGAAATGTTCTGTATCTTGTATGGATGGTGGTTATAACCATCAAAACTCATTTCAATGAATACTTCAAAACTGTGTATTTTAAAGTATGCCTCAATTAAAAAAACAAACAAACAAGGAATCTGATGTGAAAAACAAAATACTAACTGATCCTTTCAATCACCTCCTCAGAAGAAACTGACATTCGATTTTGAAATCTGGTGTCTCACTCAGAGAGCTGGAAACTGTAAGCCAACAGGTATTAATGCTCATTATCTAGATACAGTGTGAACAAGCTGTGGCTAGTTTTAAAGGTTTACAGGAATCTTTTAAGGAATCTGGTTTGCAAGTTGAAGGGATATACCCAGTAAGAAATCGATAGAAATTCTGGAGAAAGCAAGAAGAAATAAAGACACCATTCCAACAATAAATGGAAATTTTAAAACCTGCCTTTTTATCTTGAGACATAGTTATCCTAGAGTTCTAATCCTAAACACTCTAATACCCCTCTCTCCTGCTCTTTCCCCTGAAACACATCCCTACCACCATGAAAAAGAAAGCTTGTCTTCATGCTAGTGAAGCTGAAGGGAGAAGACCTTCCTTCCTCTGACAGATGCACTGAGGGCCTGTGAGAGCAAGCCTTGCTGGCTCCAGGGGATGCATGTCACTTTTCCTGTACCTTCTCTCACAATCTAATTATGGCTGAAATGAAAAAAGGAAAATTAAGTCCTGATGACTGTGTGTCCTAGGAAAGGTTCAGGATAAGAGAGCCAGCTAGCATGACCAAGCAGACAGAGGACGCAGTAGCCTCTCAGAAGATGGCATTCCCGATTTTCTCTCTCCATTAGACTTCTGAGTTATGGAGCCGGCAGGACCTAATCAAATGATAATACCTAGAAAGGACAGTAACAATACCTAACACTGACTGAGAGATGACTACATGCCATCCACTATGCTAAGTTCTGCCTATCTATGAAGTTGACACTTACAGTACCTTTGAGATAAGTACTATTACCATCCCAATGTTGCAAATGGGCAACTGAGACAGTTCCACAGCCTGTTAAGTCGTTGAGCCCAGTACCTGAAACCAAGCAGTCTGACACAAGAACTATCTTTAAGTTCCTCTACCTGAAACACTATGCTGCTCCCTGAAAGAATAGAAACAAGGCAGATTCTAGAGCCAGAAAACCCTGAGTTCAAATCCTCCTTTTACCATATACTTGTAATATGGTCTTTGGAAGGTCAGTTAACTTTTCTAAGTCTCTGTTTCATCTATAAAATAGAGGTAACATCTAATAACTCACCAAGTGATTGTGAGAATTATAGACAATTACTGTGAAGAGTCTGGCACCTAGTAGGTACCTCAATAATTGATCATTATGATTGATGGTAATAAATCATATTTGTTTAAAACTCATTTCTGAGTTATTTACCATGTGTGTGCACATGTGTGTGTATACACAACATATAAATATAGGTATTGATATAAATGAAAAAGGATAAACGAAGGATAAAAGTTGGCCTTCATGACCACATACACACACACACACACACACTTTTTCCCCTAACTTCTTTCACATTTTAATTAAGGTACGCAATTGATGCACACGAAGGGATTGCTGCCCTGGAATATGGGGCATCTACAGGAACTGGAAGGGTAAACATTGCCATTTGTGTACACTGAAGCATCATGGCATTCTAGAAATGGCACCAGTCTAGGAACCACCCAGACTTCAGTTTAAATCTTTGTTCTACGAATACATGGCTATGTGACCTAAAGCAAGAAAGGTGATTTACCCTCTGAAGCTTCAGTTTCTCTCATGTATAAAATAGAAGTAATTAACCCTGGTAGTGTATGTTGATGGTGATAGCACATATTAAGGTCTATAATGATGAGAATATGTGTAACATATGTGGTCTCTAGTAGGTGCTCTATAAATAGTAGCTAAGTTGAAATGATATTATGCCTCTATGTCTCTATCATAGCCATACTAGAAGATATCAGAACTTCCATTTTTTTCATGAACCTGATTGTAACATTTTGTTTTAGTACATATCAATTACTGGAGTCTCTGCCAGGACTTGCCCAAAGACAGGGCTTAAAAGTTCATTAATTTTAATGATTCCCTTGATTAGTTACAAAAAGAATTAAGTTAGATAATTTCTTTTTTTAAGTCAGTGGAAGTCAGTGTTTCATTAATATTTATTACAAATTAACTTATGTTTTTATTAATTATATTTTATTAACTATATCTTAATTAAAATATATATTATTAAATTATAGTTTATTAATTATATTTTTACTAGAAGAATTGTGAATAAAATTCTTTCAAATCTAGAAGGAGGTAGTTTTCCCTGTATTTAGGCAAGACCTTTTAGGCAATAGGCTGACCAGCTGAAAGACTGAAAGCTGAACTCCTTTCTGTATGCATGGGGTAAAACATATACACATACTTTTTCACACACACAGTATCAAACATGGAAGAAATAGAGAGGTAAGGTTTGAGGAAAGCCAGAGAAGACTTTAACAGCAAAAAAAGCAATCAAGAGAGCCACAGAATATAAAAACAAAAAAGAGGGTCACATGAGAGTTGCCCAGGAAAGATACAAAACATCATCTTTGAAAGGGATGTTAGGGCACTCACTACATAATATCTGTAGAAATGTCCGGGTCTCCTGAGAGATGGGCACTCTATCAATACAAGGTATTATGGCTTCTGTCTTTATAACTGAAAGATTGATATTCTTTGGTAAGATTCCATGTTCAGCATAGAAGGCGCACAATTGGAAGTCTGAAACAGCACTTTCCCCTTTTTCTCCAACACAAAAGCCTCCTTCCAGTGTGTGACCTTCCATGCAAAACAGCTCATTTTTAAAGCTTAGTTCCAGTCTCCTAAAGATCCTTGGTTACAAGCCATGGGAAAGGATATCATGTGACAGAGGCACAGTCCTTTCTAAGTGACAGGGGAAAGGTCCTGCTACAATCACTCTTAGTGAAGAGAACACAGCACCCTTTGGTTAGTAAGAATTCTTAACCATACGAGAAACAGAGAGAGGATACTGTGCTCTCATTTTCCAACTTCTCACATTTTCCCTTGTGAAAATATTTCGAGGTTACAATTAACGTGATGTGGCAGTTAAATTCCTAAGAAGTTTTAAAAAGCATGTATAGAAGTAAATATTGGCTTCAGCTTTTTTTAAGGCAAAAAAAAAAAAAAAAAGTGCTGACTAGAGCAAAGGAAAGTGGTTTTTTTTTCCTATCCCTCCACTGTCAATAATTATTACATAAGTGTTGATGCCAGAATTGCTGAATGGTAGAAGACATCATATATTATAAGTATTATAAACAAGTATACAATATGCAGTCAGTGTGAAGGTATTTTAAAATAGTAAGTCACTTACCATGTCAGTAGAAGAAATAGTTGGCGAATACTCTGGGGCCAGTGTGGTGTCATTAGATATTGAGATATTAGCTGTAAGCAAAAGACAATTATTTTATACTATAAAACAAAAACAGAAAAAGACCTTAAATACGTAATTAGATATTTTTAAAAGCAGGACTAGGCAGTAAAAATGTCTTTAATAACAACATAAGAGCACAATGAATTTTTATTTATTTTAAATGTGTTCACCTTTCACGTAGATAAAACAAAGATTTGGACACATCTGCTGTGGACACATTTTGGACACAGCTGCTGTGCTCTAATCTGATAAGAAATGATGATGAAGAATTCAAAGAGACGGTATTAAAATTTGTTTCAGGTTTCAAGAAAAAAGATAAATGAAACTTCCCTGATACTACAAGGTACTCAATATATTTTGTCTAGTGGAACAAGGGCTGTTCATAATTGATTAAGTTAATCACTGGCTTCAGAATGCACAGGAAAATCTCCCATATTGAAGCTTTACTAATTAAGACTTAAATAATTTATAGTTTTGGGAAATTTCGACAGTGTATGAGAACGGTTATCTTTTTAACGTGTGAAAACAAAATAAAGTACTAAATAATATAAATATAATGGAGATGAATATTTAATCTAATTTTAAAAATTATTTTCATACAATTTGGCATCATTTATAGGTTTAAGATGGCACTTGAAGAATAACCTAATGTATTAAACCAACCTTCCTCTTGGAAATCTTTTGTTCCATTTTTAAAATTTTATGTGTCTGAAAATTAAAACATAGTATTTAAAAAGTATTCTATAAGTAAAATATTTTTTCTTTATCAGATAAGCCTTTTTCCTATTTTGTGAAGCTTTAGGTATTATAAAATAAACTATTACAGCATATTCCTAATTTATAGAAATATAAAACAACACATCAGGGTTTTTATTTGTTCGTTTGTTTGTTTGGGGTCCCACAGTTTATTAAACATCTGAATTGCTAGCTACTGTTTGGTCCCTACTCCAGTCCCTCTGAGCCACTAGCTTGCCTTTTCAGCTTGCCATGCTTCAAGTCCTGCCTATATAAACCTTTAAGAAGAAACACGCAGGTTTTGATAGCTGATGTTAGAATATGAGATCCATAAGGGAGGAACAGAAGAAGCTTACCTCATTCACTGTTTTTCCCTAAAACCTACCCAGTGTAGCTCTTAACAGGAACTCAAAAATATTTGTTTACTGTCAATAAAGGAAGTTAGAAAAGAGGGCATTTCATGACTAAAAATGAGAATGACAGCAGATAAATTGGGAACAAAAGAAACAAGAAAAACAAACTAAAAGAGAGAAAATATCTAGCTTGAGCCCTACTTTTGGTCAATTTTGGAATTCACTCTGATCTTTCAAGACTTTAGATTGTAAAACTGTTAACCTAAAGCTAGCTGTTGCCAGAGTTTCTCTATTTCAGCAGTAAAGGAAGTACATGTGCATATTATCTGTGTTCTTATTCTCTCTGTTTCATTACAGATCACAGAGGGAACTAAAATAGGCTGAAGCACATCAAAAAGCTAATCCACCATGATCAGGTAGGCTTTATCCCTGGGATGCAAGGTTGGTTCAACATATGCAAATCAATAAATGTGATTGATCACATAAGCAGAACTAAAGAAAAAAATACAAGATTATCTCAACAGATGCAGAAAAGGCTTTGGATAAAGTTCAACATCCATTCATGTTAAAAAAAAAACTCTCAACAAACTAAGTATTGAAGGAACATACTTCAAAATAATAACAGCCATATATGACAAACCCACAGCCAACATCATATTGAATGGGCAAAACCTGGAAGCATTGAAAACCCCTTGAAAATCTGTACAAGACAAGGATACCGTCTCTCACCACTCCTATTCAACATAGTATTGGAAGTCCTGGCCAGGGCAATCAAGCAAGAGAAAGAAATAAAGAGCATTCAAATAGGAAGAGAGGAAGTCAAACTATCCTGTTTGCAGACAACATGATCCCATATCTAGAAAACCCCACAGTCTCAGCCCAAAAGCTTCTTAAGCTGATAAATAACTTCAGCAAAGTCCCAGGATACAAAACCAATGTGCAAAAATCACTAGCATTCCTATATATTAACAACAATCAGGAACAAACTCCCATTCATAACTGCCACAAAAAAGAATAAATGCCTAGGGAATACAGCTAACCAGGGAGATGAACAATCTCTACAAGGAGAACCACAAACCACTGCTAAAGAAAACAGAAATGACACAAACAATGGAAAAACATCCTATGCTCATGGATAAGAAGAATCAATATTGTTAAAATGGCTATACTGCTCCTAGTAATTTATATATTCAATGTTATTCCTATTTAACCACCATTGAGATTCTTCACGTAAGTAGAAAAAACTATTTTAAAATTTATATGAAACCAAAAAAGAGCCCGAATAGCCAAAAAGAACAAGGCTGGAGGCATCATGTTAGCCAACTTCAAACTATACTACCTGGCTCTAGTAACAAAAACAGAATGGTACTGGTACAAAAACTGACACACAGACCTATGGATCAGAATAGAGAATCCAGAAATAAGACTGTACATCTACAACCATCTGATCTTCAACAAACCTGACAAAAAGAAGCAATGGGGGAAAGGATTCCCTATCAATAAATAGTACTGGGATAACTGGCTGATTATAAGCAGAAAATTGAAACTGGACCTCTTCCTTATGCAATATACAAAAATTAACTCAAGATGGATTAAATACTTAAATGTAAAACCCAAGACTATAAAAACCCTAGAAGACAATGTAGATAATACCATTCAGGACACAGGCATGGGAAATGATTTCATGACAAAGATGCCAAAAGCAATTGCAACAAAAGCAAAAACTGACAAATTGAATTTAATTAAACTAAAGAGTTTCTGAACAGCAAAATAAACTATCAACAGAGTAAACAAACAACCTACAGTATGGAAGGATATTTTTGCAAACTATGCATCTGACAAAGGCCTAATATCCAGTATCTAAAATGAACTTAAACAAATTTACAAGAAAAAAAAAAAAACAGCCTTATTAAAAAGTGGGCTAAGGACATGAACAGACACTTTTCAAAAGAAGACATACATGCAGCCAATAATCATAGGAAAAAAAAAAAAGCTCAACATCAATGATCATTAGAGAAATGCAAATCAAAACCACAATGAGATACTCTTCACACAAGTCAGAATGGCTATTACTAAAATGTCAAAAAAAAAACAAAACAAAACAGATGCTGGTGAGATTGTAGAGAAAAAGGAACACTTATACACTGTTGGTGGGAGTATAAATTAATTCAATCATTGTGGAAGACAGTGTGGCGATTCCTCAAAGACCTAGAGAGAAATAACATTTGACCCAGTCATCCCATCACCGGGTATTTACCCAATGGAATACAAATTGTTCTATTATAAAGACACACGTACACCCATGTTCACTGTAGCACTATTCCCAACAGCAAAAACATAGAATAAACTTAACTGCCCATCAATGATAGACTGGATAAAGAAAAGGTGGTACATAACACCATGGAATACTATGCAGCCATAAAAGGAATGAGATCATGCCCTTTGCAGGGACATGGATGGAACTGGAGGCCATTATCCTTAGCAAACTAATGCAGGAACAGAAAACCAAATACTGCCTGTTCTCACTTATGAACAAGAGCTAAATAATGAGAGCACATGGACACATAGAGGGGAACAACACACTCTGGGGCCTATTAGATGGTGGAGAGTGGGAGGAGGAAGAGGATCAGGAAAAACAACTAATGGGTACTTGGCTTAATACTTGGGTGATGAAATAATCTTTAAAACAATCCCCCATGACACACATATAGCTATGGAACAAACCTGCACATGTACCCCAAACTTAAATGAAAGTTAAAAAAACAAAAACAAAAATAGGCTAAATGATGTTTGGCCTAAACAATAAAGCCAAATGAATCCATTCTCAAAAGGAAGATATTAGTAAATAGTTACTAAGAAAATCTAGGTTTGTATTACTATGTTGTTCTAAAAAGCTGAAAGAACATTTTCTTATATTGTATTTCTTCATTTGAAAACATTCTAGAGCACATAATGGGTATACTTTTATACCCATTTCATATTGGATGAGACTCTGAAGCTTACTATGCCAGGTTACTTCCCCAGGGTTACAGTTTATCAGAAGCAGAGTTGGTAGCAAGACCTCCTTCAGCATTCTTTCTTCTCCTACGCAGCATTTCTAACCATCAATATCAGGTGATTTATGTGGCCACAGAATTCAAGGTGAGATAGTACTTGCCAGTGTTCGATGATGTGACTCTCAACCGTGACCTGAAATGTCTGATCTGTCTGAGCTTTTGAGGAAAAGCAGCATATGTGAAATTACAGATACTATTTGGATGGTGTTGAGAAGCTTCCCTTCTTGAGCTAGATTCTTTAATGCAATTTTATCAGCTTCTTGTCACGAGAGTTTGAGGGTCTTTTTGCAACACACTTTTCTGCATAAAAACAAGGAGTAAAGACTGAGGAGGAAAGATAGTCAAGGCTCTTTCTTCATGAAATGAATGATGGATAATAAAGGCCAGGGGTGTAGTAAAACAGGATTGTAATCTGAACCGTTAGTAGCTGCTCTCAAGTTTCGGATAAGCATCAATTCTGCTCATTTAAATTCCTTTTAGAATTTCAATTTTTTCCCCTAAGACAAGCTATTAAAGCACATTGGCTCTCAAAATCCCAAAAGACCAGCATCAAAACGACAGTAAAAAGTATATAACACGTTCCCTACTTATTTTAATAAGCATCTGCTTCAGAAGAAAGACTTGAAAATAAATACATTTAAAAAGCACTTTCATAAATGCATATTGGCAGGGTATGTTATACTCCATAAACAAGATTAAAAGCAAATTTCTTTAGGCTCACAGAAAAGAAGATGATCAATCCCAATTGGAAGCTTGGTCTATAAGAACCATTGGTTACCATTTGGATCCAGGTGCAAATATTTTGGCAACCAATTGCAGAATGATCCATATATATGGCAATCTCCTTAATTAGGATTCTGGAAAAGT